TCTGCCAATACTCAGTAAACAGTAAATACCACTACATCTCATCTTTAGGAATCAGACTGCATAATCTCCCAAAATCTAGGTGTACATCACAGCCCATAACCTAATTCTACAATCCTGCAAGATCAGCATCAAATTTTGCCTACTAGTTGAATGAGAGTTGATTGCCAACTAAAAGTTGATTAAGAATGAAAATAAGTTTGTTTATGAAATAGACACTGAGATAATGCAATAATAGAGCTTAGAATATGTGTTGTCTTTGGGTTTCATTCTTTAATGCGATGTTGATAGCCCCAATTCTGATGTCCATAGGTGGACATAAGAGAAAAGATCTGAGGGTGAAGTTCCTTTTCAGTCAATACAGGGTGTTCATACTTTCTCGAAGGGGTTTTAAAAATTTATATCTAGAAAACTACTCAGAATACATTGATCAGACGGGAAGAAAGCAGATGCTAAACACTACAAGTTTTTTATTGTTCAAATTTACCTTTGGTAAACTTCAATGTGGGCAAAATTTTTGGAAATCTGCAATAAACTCTCAAAAAGGCATTTAATATCATCTTCAGACCTGACCTTGTCGTGTGCAGCATGCTCTCGGTTTCTTGGAACTGCTTGTATCACCTTCTAATTGAATTTTCACCTGAACATCACGCTTGAAATTTTTGTTTAAATTGACACTGAACAAGAACCACCAATTTCTGCTCTGCAAACCAGAAAACACATTGAAGTTTTTCTTATATGGTAGCCACAACTCAATGGGCTGATGCAAGAAATTATCCTTCTCTCAACTTCTTTCTCTCTTCCCCTGTTCCATGTGCCAAACACATGTATAAAAACTAATGCCCAAATGCTGAAACCTCTTTTAGTTAATGGGCCTTTCAGAATACATGGACTTCTATGGGAGGAAAAAGAGCTCCTTGCAGGAAAAAGGGCTCCTGAGATTTATGCCCAAATGCAAAGCTCTTGCATCCAGGCCTAAGGCCTTAATGCACAAACCTCATTAAGGAGATGAATAGGCTTTTAACACATTGGTGACGGGCCCCGAGAAATCTCATAGTATGCTCGCGAGCGGTTGGTGACCGGCCCAGGGGCCGGTCACCAACCGCTCGCAAGTGTACTACGAGATTTCTTGGGGCCTGTCACCAATGTGTTAAGAGCACTCTTTCCCCATAAAAAATAGAAAAAAGACCTCTTTTTCCCCCATAGGAGCCCATGTATTCTAAAAGGACCATTAACTAAAGGAGGTTTCAGCACTCAGGCCTTAGTGCTTAACTACTGCATACTCCAAACCCAATCAATTTATTCCATGTAGTTTTTAAGATATACATTTTCAAAACCAACAATAATTCATGAACATTGGCTTCAGAAGTGTTTCAGATAACAATTACAGAGTGTCTTCACATCAAATTTTCAGCCAACAGTACATTCCATGTGTATCCCACATATATGACTTCCACCTAATCAAATCATTGTTTACTCCTACACTTCCTTGTGTGACAACTGATGAAATTATTCTCTATCTCTACTTCAATTCCAGATTCATTAAGTCAGATAAACTTCTATACTAGACCTTGTGATTATTTCTTTTTGCCTCTTATCTACAAGCAACTCTTCCAGCCTTCAACAACAATCTACTTATCGGAATAAGGGAACCCTTTGAGATTAGGTGATGCTGCAACAATATTGTCTAAACTTGACAACAATGCCATGCTATGGTGCAATAAAGTCCTTCATTCATTCAGTAACCCAATGATCTTGCACTATTCCCTATTTTTGTTTAATCACCTTGACTATTGTAATGACTTTATGGTCCAGATGATACATATTAAGAACATGGTGTGGAGTTTTCAAAGAATTGGGTCTTTAGCCCATAATGCCTGATGACCAAATCAACTCAACCACTACCACAGAGGAAACCTCAGCCAAATTTCCACTACCACAACCCACATTAGACACGGATATAGGAGGAGACTGGGGTACAGTGGGGCACTGGACTTTTTGTCACTTCAAACTATGAGGGGTGTTTACAAAGTTCTGGGAATTTGCATGGTAATTTTTTATTAGACTAATTTATTTGATATTACAGTGCAATTTTTCAACATAATCACCATTCTGTATCCATCTGTGCCAGCAAGTAACTCATTTTTTTTAGTCCATCTTCAAATAACTTTTGAGGAGTACGTTCTACCCACTCATTTATTGCTGCTTTAACTTCAGATAGAGACTCAAAATGGATTCCTTGAAGAGGTTTCTTCATTTCCCCAAGCAGATGATAGTCGCTGGAAGTCAGGTCTGGAAAATAGGGCAGGAGTGGCAGGAATTCCCAGGGCAGATCTGACAAAATGGCCTTTGTAAGACAAGCAATGTGAGGCCTCACATCGTGTTGCTGCAGAAATGGTCGGAAAAGGAGCTTTCCTGGCCGTTTTTTCTTGAGTACCTCATGCAGTGGTCCCTTCAGCAAATCAGAGTAATATTGTGCATTTATTGTGGAACCTTTTTGAAGATAATCAATCATGATTATTCCCAGGCAATCCCAAAACACTGCTATCATAACCTTACCAACTGATGGCATAGTCCTTGCTTTAAGCAGAGGGCCATCAGAAGGACACTGCCATTCCATGGACTGAATTTTTGTTTGTGGATTAAAGTGAGGTATCCAGGTCTCATCTGTTGTAATGATACATTGCCAGAAACTATCCCATGTTGTTCCTGTAGAGCCAACAACTTGGAACAAACCTCCACACAATTGAGTTTCTGTTCTGGCCCCAACAGCCATGGTATCCATCGTGCAGAAACCTTGCTCACTCCAAGACAGTCATGTAAAATTTCATGAACTTTTCTGGAACTGATGCATACACTTGCTGCAATCTTGTGAATGGAGATTCGTCTGTCTTCCATTAACATTTTCTCCACAGCAATGACATTTTCTTCATTAACAGCAGTGTTTGGTTTACCACTGTGGGGGTCATCTTCAAGGCTCGTTCTTCCATTCTTAAAGTGATCAATCCAGTGATAGATGGTACTTTTAGATTCAGATGATTCACCAAGAAAAGCTTTCAAACATTGAATAGTTTCAGACATCTCAAAAGTTTCTTTCCATAAAAAGAAAATAGCTCTTTTTGAGAATTTACTGCCTCTTCAATGACTGACAAAGTGTACCCTTCACAAACACTGACAACTTCTTACTGATGCATGACCAGTGAATAATATTTTGAAGTTGTGTTTATGAGAAGCCTAAGCATGTGTGACCAACTTTGTGGTAGGCTTTGATCAGCCATTGCAGTGATAGAACAAAATTCCCAGAACTTTGTAAACACCCCTCATAGATGGAGATGCATGTAAATTTACTGAATCTACTACATCTTATAACCCCCCATATCTGTACAAGATTTGGTTTCAATCATGTAACTGGGGGGGGGGGGGAAATACTGATATTTGAATTTTCCATATCTTGACTGAATATTTTGCATGATAGAAAAATTGACAGCCCATCCAGTCCCAGAAAGGACCACTTCTAATTCACAAAGACCAGCAAAAAGCTCATTTATCATACTTGGGCCTTTTTTTTTGGCCCTTCAGCTCCACAAAAAAACAGATTCAGGACAAAAGAACAGCAGAGGTTTCCCACGTGAAAATTCCATATGCCTGTCACAGGCTGTATGATTCTATATGGTCATGTATAATCATATATTTGCCATATGCCACCATATATATATTCATATATAAACAATTGCATGGTGTATAGGGTACTTTACCTGCATTGCAATATTAAGTGTATTGGGCAAATGGCATCATGTCTGATATGTGGTGGATATCCACAGAGAAGTCTTATGGTTGTAAGTAAAACATAGCATGAAGTTGGTGGTGTATTTTGGCTGAAGAGTCAGGGGGGACAGGGCAGCAGAGTGGGAGCACCAAGTCCTGTCCCAGGGATGCTGGGGGGGGGGGGGGGGGGGCAGCTACACCCCCCTGCCCCTCCCTGGAAAATATGCCACTGCATGAGGTTGTTAAACAAGGGCAATTGACCTTCAGGTGCCTCTGCAACTAATTTTTAATGTACCCATATATTTTACTTGAAATATTAGCTATGTATAACCTTTTAAGTAATTTGCCAAAAGTTTTATTTCAAACCCCCCCAGCTTAAAATCCTAGTTGGAAACAGCTTTAATTTCCAACTGGACCCCAGTTGGAAATTCAGACCTATTCAAACTGGGTAGCAGCTGGAAAGTAAAGTCAGATCCAGATTGTTCCTAATTGCATTACACTGATGGAATGAGAATGTTTTTATTGACTATTCTTGCTGGAGGTCCATCTACAGAAGCAGCAGAATTTCAACTGTAAATTCAGCTGTATTCCAACTGGAGGGTCCTCTGTAGAAATTCTAATGGTAAATTTCCAGCTGTAAAACAACCTGTATCTACCATTTTTCAGCTCTTTGCCAACCAGAAATGGTACGAATATACAGCTTCTGTCCACCTGAAAAATTCCAGTTAGGATTTCAAACTGGGCCCTACCCTCTCTAGGTAGCATAAGCATATCGTAGATGAAAAAAGTGTGGGAGGAGGGGGGGGGGCATGTTAACACTGGGGCACTGTTATCATGCATTCCATACATCTTTTCCTATGTATTAATGCATTTCTTGTTGTGAAGTGGGGGGCACATGCCATGCCATGCCTTCCTTGAACAATTCCTTAATTGGATAATTTCAGAAAGAAATACAGTTTTTATTCCCATCTATCTTGTGAGTTGTCAGTCAAAATGAAGAAGACACTCCTACATGAGTACGCCAAGTTTTGTCACGAAATAGCATTACCGATGAAAATACTTGTGAAAGTTCTAGTCTATCATGTTGAAACTTTCACCTTCATTAACAAGGGTGCATATGTTGAACACCATGAAACATGAGTTCTTGGAGCAATTGACTGTGGTCTATGAACAATTAAAAATGAGTTGATTGCAAGTAAAGTATGGTGACTTGCATATGAATGTATACATATGAATATATTAATAGTATCTGATGGATTATGAACCCTTTTTGAATACAGGCATGTTTAGGATAATCGCACCATACATAGGTATGACATGGCATATATATGGACAGTATATGGTGCATATGTATGAGCCAATATATGAAAATGTATGGGGTCATATATTTTCACTCTTATATGATTTTATGTGACTTGTGTCAAACCCCATACATGTTTCACATATGTTCATATATGTATTGCACTATATGGTCATATATGCCCTGTATATGTTGGACTGGTTAAATATATGGCCATTTCATATATGGGTCTTATATGAAATTTTCACNGGGCACTGTTATCATGCATTCCATACATCTTTTCCTATGTATTAATGCATTTCTTGTTGTGAAGTGGGGGGCACATGCCATGCCATGCCTTCCTTGAACAATTCCTTAATTGGATAATTTCAGAAAGAAATACAGTTTTTATTCCCATCTATCTTGTGAGTTGTCAGTCAAAATGAAGAAGACACTCCTACATGAGTACGCCAAGTTTTGTCACGAAATAGCATTACCGATGAAAATACTTGTGAAAGTTCTAGTCTATCATGTTGAAACTTTCACCTTCATTAACAAGGGTGCATATGTTGAACACCATGAAACATGAGTTCTTGGAGCAATTGACTGTGGTCTATGAACAATTAAAAATGAGTTGATTGCAAGTAAAGTATGGTGACTTGCATATGAATGTATACATATGAATATATTAATAGTATCTGATGGATTATGAACCCTTTTTGAATACAGGCATGTTTAGGATAATCGCACCATACATAGGTATGACATGGCATATATATGGACAGTATATGGTGCATATGTATGAGCCAATATATGAAAATGTATGGGGTCATATATTTTCACTCTTATATGATTTTATGTGACTTGTGTCAAACCCCATACATGTTTCACATATGTTCATATATGTATTGCACTATATGGTCATATATGCCCTGTATATGTTGGACTGGTTAAATATATGGCCATTTCATATATGGGTCTTATATGAAATTTTCACGTGGGTTGACAATAGTTGACAGGTTATAAGAAATGGCACTCCATTAGGTGCTAATGCTGCCTGGTCCATTCTGGGCCTGGATGAACTATATATTGCTGTGAACACTTTACGGAACTGTTGTCTTTGGACTGGAGTTGTTCCTGCCTGTGTGCACCATATTGGGTACCAGCAGAAATTTTCACAGTGCAAGTACATTCACAGAAATGTAGAGGGATTAATACCAAAATCTAGTGCAGAAAACATTAGATGAAATAATGGGTTAGAATATGGACAATAAAATAATTAGAAACTGTGAACTAACATGTACTGATAAAATGCCTGCCTCCACCCTTAAGAAAGTCATCCACAAATGGTGGAAGGGTTCCTCTTCATGGAACCATTTACAAATAAGCAAAACCTTTAACTGAGGGTCCAGTTAGAGGACAAAACCCTCCTTTGTCACTTTAGAGGTAGTTGTAATCCCTACATGGATAGAAATATGAATTAGAAACTTCTAGCGATGTTTATTAACATCATACACAAAGCCCACGTCAATTTCTGGGCAGCAATGAACTTTGGGAAGGGGCTGCAGCCATTAAGAGAAATCACAGCAAAAATAAGGAAATCAGAGGGTGCTACATTGGGAATGAAAAAAAAGTCCAAATTTACTCTTGCAAATAGGCATACACAATTCATATGGTGGCCAACAGGCATGTGCATAATATAGAGCAGTTAAGATTATGAATTTGCTGTGTAGATTTTGTTGGATGGAAGAAAAACTTGAAATCATCCACAAATAGGTGCCTCCCTATGAACTGGCATCTCTACCCTAGTAGGGATAGCAATCAACAAAATCATAACTAGCACTTAATAAGCCTAGCATCCTTGAGGTAAAGGCATAGGAGCTGTTCCATATGCATAACGTTTTTCATTGCCAAAAAGTTAGTTTACAATACTTCATTTAATTTTGCTCACTATCACATATCACAATGAATTAATTCTAAGCTGAATGGCACACATGCTGTTCAAAAATAAAAATTTGCATTCAAGTCATCCTAATGTTAAGTCTGGCCAATCAGGATTTTAGCATGTTTTAAGAAGCCTAGCAAGCAACAAGTACTGGACTAAAAAATCCCAGAATAAATATAAAACTTAGACATGGTATAAGTACAGTTTTTTTTTAGCATAACTTACTCCAGGCATACTGATACTGTGGAAAATTAATTAAATGCAAGATATATTACAGTAATGCTATTTGAGTTTTTGATATGTAGACATTTTCATTCATTAAATAACAAAATACCAGAATGAAAGTATTGGTGAAAATAACAGGCAGTGAAAACTATTTTCTTGACTTGCTAGCAACAGGACTTATTTTTTTCCCCTTTCATCATCATGCTCCTTAGAGACTGGGCATGCTGGCAGGGACTACATGAGAATTGCAAATAAATATTAATGCTAAAGTATCCCAAACCTTGCTTGTCAGCATTCTAAAGGTGGGAAAATAAATTAAATCAAGACCTCAAAATCATGAGCCATTCCAAAAGAAATGATTTAATCAAATACTCCAAATTCAAGGCAATCTTAATCAAGGACTGAAATAATGATTGAGAGAAGTCACACTGCACCAGTGTAGCAAAATGGCCAATTACATTCCCTGTTGAATTAATCATGTAATTCATGATTCAAATCAGAATGGTAAACTCCAAGCTCTTTTTCCAAGATTTTGCTCCACATTAAGCAAATCGAATCTCAGGATTTTATTCAATCAGATTGAAATCAAATCCAGATTTGACTTTGCCCACCTGTGGTAGTCATGCAAACCATGTAACCACAGTCACCACTTCATGATTAAACTCCCAACAGGGACTTTGAGTCCCTCCCAAGATAATCAAGACAAGGTTCAATGGTGATTAGTGAAAGTTAGTAAGTGATCAAATAAGAGAAGATGTTATGTGTTTGAGTTAGTCTCTTCACATGCCAAAACAAAGACTACAACTCACGCTCCCTCTTTTGTGGATTGTCGTCTCCCTTTCTGATATAATGATGCTACCGGGGGATCACATCTATGGACCAAGGAATTCCTTCATTCACCTCCCTCTTGTAGTCAAGATTATAATGATGACAAACTTATGCACCAAACTGCATTCTTAACTATATTTTTCTATCTGATCAAACTCAATGATTTAAAAAATCTCATGAATAAAATCTGAAATAGGTATCAAGCTTGAAGATGGAAGGATAAAGAAACCTGAGGATGAGGACACAAGCAGCAACTAGTGTGTAGGCCAGAAGAGTCCCAATTGACATCATATCCACCAGCGCCCTCAACTCGAAAAGAGCTGCCATAATACCTGACAAAACATTTCAATAATTACTTTTAAAATATACAGCAGTAATCAAATTATACATTTGAAATGAATTCCAAATTTAGGTTGGAGTTAAGGCTCTAAGATTTATGTTTTGGCTTGTTATCTCTAGGATTGCATTACTCAGCATTTGATATTCTGTTTCCTTCACATAGGAAGATCCCTAAAATAAATGCTTTTGTGCACAAGTCTTCTTTTCTTGTTTACCATTCTTAAAAATGCTCCATGGTGAAAGTCATTTGGTTAAAATTTTGGGCTGTACTAATGGTGGTGCTTGGCCAATGAGCAAACAGTTGATTATGATCTCACATGCACCAGCCAGTGCAAGTGCCTATGCTGATTGTGGCAAAGAGATGAGGGGAAAAAGACAAAAATTTACCATTATTGTCTGACATTCTTCATAGTTATCAAATTTTTTGACAACAGCTGAAGATATTCATAATACTGAATATTCATTATCATTGCTTCTGCAGGAGGAGACCAAATGCATGCATGACTTTTACCGGAAAAGAAACAAGTGTGGCAAGTTGCCCTGTGCCATCATTTGACAGTCACTGCAACTGAGATTTGTTGAACCATTCAATTATAATTATAAAACTTTCACTGAAGGGAAACAAGAAACACAATGTCTGCCAAAAAGTGCAAATCCTAAGCCCTATCTCTATGTATTCATTAGGACTGTCATGATAGATCGATGCATCGATACCACTATCGATAGTTGGAGATATCGATAGTTTTTTCTACCATCGTGATGCATTGGCAAAATATTTTAAAGGGGAAATGTCCCATTGGATTGAGGCAAGTACAGTACAATACAGTCCATCCAGGCAGGGAAAGGAAGCAATTTCTTGTCACAATCAAATTCTGGAAATGCTGGGACTGATTATATGAAAGACGGGAAGGGAAAAAAAAGTCGGATCAGAGACAGGAAGTGGGAAAGGAGAGGGGGGAAGACGGAGAATATAATTTTCTCTTCTGTTTCTGTCTGGCTTGATCTCATCTGGTGCATGCCGCAAAAGTGGACTGTTCTTATACTCCCTTGATTTCTAAATGTACATTGGTTAATCCCCTCTCTATATTCCTGTTTTATCACTTTAGTATGCAGGCTTAACTTTCTTAATTTTTAACTTGCCTTAATTTTATCTCTACTTAAGGTGAACTCAAAGTGAATTTTTTACATGGACGTTGCTTATTCTAGGGCTGTACCGATGTTTCGGCAACCAGCGGTATGGCACCATTAGCAGGTTTCCTATCTGCCAGTGCTGATGTCCAAAGACAGTGTAAAACGAAGAAAAAGAGAAAAAAAATAACGCGAACGGGGCTTAGCAGCTGATTCTCATCGGCAATAAGAAAAAATTAGGGCTGTCCAGATGCATCCATCGATGAATGGATGCCATCTTCGATAGTTGGAGGCATGGTAGGTTTCATTACTGGAATCCTCCGGCGCAACATCCACCCTTGATGCATTGATACACTATCAATAGTTTGGGTTGATGCATCGATGTTTTGAAAACTGCTATCATGACAGCCCTAGTATTAATAGAAAAGAGAAGAGAAATCTGACATGATGCCTGATGCCTGTAATCAACTCAAAATCAAGTGGCAAAAGTGATTTCTTCATCAGCTTGTGCAGTGTACACATTTTAGTGACAAGGAAGATACCAGGATAGGTATAAGCCTATGTTTTCTTGGAACAGACTGTGTCTGAGACCTAGGTCTAGTTGATAGAATCAGGTATGCAATTTGACTACTGAGCAGATGTAATCATGCCATCAAGCAAATTCATTATTTTTCATTGAAAAAAGAGAGATGGTTTGATACAGAACACATTCCTGAATGTCTTCCTTTCTTTTTTTAAAAGAGAAGGAGGTGGGGGGCTTTGCCATCAGTATCAGCTGGGAGAAAAACAGCCTATGACTGATTACTGATGGTGTCATATTGGTGGCCAATGGAAGTGGTTGCAAATCCATCAGTACAGCCTTATTCATCAACCTTTTCTGCATACTGGGTCAAATATAAAACCAACCGTCAAATTGATGTTTTTTACTTGATGCTATTCAGACAAAGTGCATAATGTAGCATATTACATATGAAGCTCCCAACCCACCAGTAACATACAGCCATCTGTTCAGCTGAGCAAAATACCACCTATGGTAGATATAATTTTACACATATCATGTTTCACAACAAAATATAAATTCATGCAATACTCTCATATTGAATGCGTCATTGCTAAGAACCCACTAATGGGACACTGCTTGCTACATCTCTGTGGCATGAATCTAGTTGAAGAATAGGACAGCAATCAAAAGTTCCTGTGGGCTTCAGGTACATGGATTCTCTCATCAGACTAAAGGAAATACAATATACTGTAGATGACATTGTTACCAACTCATAAACTCAGCCAATCAGTGATCTTTTGATAACCTTGACTTCAAGATTCTCCCAAGGAAAATGAGTTTCTCTGGCCTCTCTTTAGCAACTACAGCATATCTTTAACCCTTTCAGTCCAGGCGAGACTCAGGAGTCCTGCACTTTCTTCACAAATGTTATAGGGTTACACAAGAATGAGGATTGGATTGGACACAAGGATGAGGCAGGATTTTGAGTCCCAGGTTATAGTAGTTCACCTCATGTTGTAAAGTTGACAGCAGTCCACAGTTATATGAAGCTGCAGTATTTCCTCTGGCACTTCAAAAATGGTGTCATCTTTTGCATTTATTTCAGCTAATACACTTCTTTCCCAGCCAACTTTTTCTATTTTTTTGCAAGCTTGATAATGGAAAGTAGTGCAGAAATGTTTGGAAAAATACAACATAAAATAGGGATAAGAGCTAAACTGATTAAATATCATACTTTTATTCATTTAATTAACAAATTTTAAAAATAATTTAATAAGTATTTATTTCACTTAACCTTTCACGTATGAATTTTCAGAGCAAGATGAAAATATGCCTTTTTTGGTTTAACCTTTAAGGAGGTACTCTGTCATAGTAGTCACATGTTTCATCACTAGAACACAGCACTGAAGAGATTTTGTGTCCTTGAGTTGACTGGATACACCAAAAGTTTTGAGGTATGTGTACCATGGCTAAAAAACCATAATTGCCAAAAATTTTGCCATCCACTATAGTGCATGAAAGGGTTGAGGAAACCATTTTAAAAGCACTTTTACTTTATATGAGCCTTGTTGAAGTCCAAAAAGTATGACATATTTTTTCAATGCCCAGAGCATAATTCCAAACTGAAAGGGTAAAACATAGTAGAAGGGGTTTACAAAAACATTCATTGGACTTGCATTATGCAAATGGCTTGTCTCATTTGTATTATATTTTAACCCTTTCATGGCATATGATCATTATAAGTATCATATCTTTTGAGACTGCTCTTGTGTTACTATGTTTGAAAAACATATTTTAAATTGTACCGTTTGATAGCTCTCAATGAGGGCTATTTATGGATACATAGTTTGTTCAAACAGGCTATTTTTCAGGCATATTGGATCAAAGAAAAAATTGTGAAGGAATTCTTTTTTAAATCTTCTCAGTTTTTCATGTTCTTCATTCAGCCATGAAAGGGTTAATTCTGAAAAAGTAACTCTATTTTCATCCAATTTAATGTCATTGGAATATCAAACCTACTTAAAATATGTTTCTTGCTTAGAATTAAATTATATTTCAATTTATGCAAGTCATGTGCATGCAGGCAATAAACAAGCTAGAAGAGTAAGGTAATTGTAGCAGACCAAAAGATGTCTGGGTAAGTACATACTAGCAGAGAGGTAAATTAATTAATTTCTTCACTACTGGTTCATGATGTTATAAAATGAAAATGGCTATGAAAAGGAATGCAGCCAAAAATTGGTTGTGGTTGAAGTCAACACAAAATAAAGTCAAAGATGGAATAAGGATGTGGGAGATTACCTCCAAAGAGACCAGCTAGGAGGGTAGCAAGCAAGGGAGTCTTAGACCATGAATTGACAGAGGATAGGCAGCGGAACATAACTCCATCCATTGCCATTGCATATACCACACGTGGCAATGGAAACATTCCTCCAAGCAGGCTGTAAACCACAACACAGACATCAATTGCTTATCATTGTTCAATAAGATATATTGATGAATTTTCATTCAGTCCATCTGCTATAAGGCATTATTGCTAATGCAAAACAATGATATCCTCTTTGTGCATCTATTTTTGTCCTCTAGATCACCTTATACAGGGTGTCCCACATATCTCTGACACATTTGTTTTTTTACTTAATCAAGAATGGATAATGTATTCAACCTGAAATTTTGGGAGAATTTAATAGAAACTTTGGAAATTATGTTCCAACCCCCAGAATTTTTCCAAACGCCCTACATTCTGATTGATGCACTCCCTGCATCAAACCAAAGCATTGTTCATTACTATCTGCAATGTGTCTCTCTCAAGGGTGGTGATAATTTTCCAAAATTCTATTCCTTAGGTCACCAGCATTCCTTAGATTTGTGTGGTACATATTGTTTTTTTTTAAGAAGCACTAGAGATAAAATCCGGGACTGTGAAGTTTGGGGAAGAAGGAATTTTGGTAAATGAATCATTTCATGATTTCATGCTACCCCATGGTCCCATGATCAGCACACTACCCAGACTTGGCAGCCCCAAATATATTTTTCTATGGTGCTTCCTAAAAAGCAATGTGTATCACACAAAACCAAGGATTGCTGATGACCTAAAGAACAGAATTAGGAAAGTTATCACTACCATTGAGAGAAACACATTGCAGGCAGTAATGAATAATGCTTTGGTTTGATGCAGGGTGCATCAATCAGAATGGAGTGCATTTGGGAAATTTTTATTTACCGAACAAAAAGCAATACTGTGCGAATTCTGTTGGAACATAATTTCCAAAGTTTCTATTAAATTTTCCCAAAATTTCAGGTTGAATACATTATCCATTCTTGGTTAATTAAAAAAACAAATGTGTCAGGATATGTGGGACACCCTGTAGTATCATTTGCTATCAGCACCTTCCAGAGAGAGATATAGGAACCAGCACTTTTGTCATGGCCTAAATGGTTGCCGACAAAACATCACCTGCTCATTTTGTCATTGCACTATTTTGTTGCAGACACAGATTCTTGTACATACACTAGACAAGGTTAAAAGCAAGGTGAAAAAATTTGCAGGAAGGAATGAGGTACTGGAATTCCTGATTCCAATCAGTTGGGGAGGGGAAAGGGAAGAGAGGGAATACATCTCTGCTAGGTTCAGAGTTATTTTTAGCTGCAGTTTGAATTTTCATTTGAGTTTTCATTAGCATGACACTGGAATGGGTCAAATCATCTACAGCAGTGGTTCTCAATTTCTTTTTTTTAACCTGCAGACTGATTTCAGAAAAGAGGAGGAGACCTGTGCAAATCCTTTTCACTGTCAAGTAAATTAGAAAGCTTACAAAATTAGTGCAAGTAAGTTTGAAGAAAGGCATATTTGGCAGAGGGTTTTGCACTCCTTTCAGATTTTTCATTTTTCATTTTGTCCATTAATCATTTTTGGCCAGAATATGGTTTCTCATACCACTTGAAGCCTAGCCACAAACCCCTACAGGTCCATGAACCCCCAGCTGAAAGACATTTACCTACAGGGATAGAAAATGCACCAGGAAGAGAAACTTTTAACTGTAGAGAGACAAAAGAACTATGAGATTGTATACCAATGTGAGCCACCAAGCCATGAAGGCAGTTGGATGTGGCATGCACAAAAGAGCAGCTCACAATGTTCATTTATGACTTCTATTCATTTATGATTCATAAACTACAATTGATGACAGGTGCATTTTAGAACTTTCATGTAGTGAGTCTGCTAGTGCCTTGCTTGGGTTCAGACATCATCAGATATCTCACCCTGAATTACCCTCATGACAAGGGAAGTGCAATAATCAGTGTCTACAACAGTGGCATGACCAAGGGGGGGGTTTTGGGGGGGTTATAACTCCCTCCTTGGGGTCAATTTTACAGGTTCAATTCTCACAAATTTTTTTATTTAGCCACAAATACAGGGTGAGTTATCAGTTTTTTCATATGTTAACCCTCCCCATTACGGTGGGTAATCAGTGTTTCATATGGCAACCCCCCCATTCAGATATCCTTGCCAAGGAGTGTATGGTACCTAGCAACCGTATAGTTCCTAGGTATAAGGACCAGACTGTTGCATATCTGCTACGAACAGATTTACCTCAGGAGCTCACTACCTGCACATTCTAAAAATGTTTATTTGGTATGCAGCATATCTGCTACGTCATGCATTAAAGGGTTAAAACATGAACACCTTGACAAAAGAGAATCCTGTTCTGGCATCAATCTCATTCCTCCAACAGAGCATGAGTTTTCTTCCAGAAATAGTTTTTTCTAATTTTTCAACAAGAAGAATGAGCAAGTTTCATTACTATATATGGATTAATGGCTCATCCACAAGCCTTGTTCTTAATGTCCAACATCAGTATTCATTAAAAAAATCCAATAAAGAAGGAGGATAAGGAAAAGCAAAGGGGCGTTCCTCTCAACGACATCACCACCATATTTGTTATCATACAACCCAATGGAATAGGTAGATGCACCCAGTTGCTTTCTTGGCCATAACACCGACAAGAAGCACCACTTGCATTGTGTACTAATGATCCATGTTAAACAACTGATGGAGAGGCCTAGGAAAAAAACCCTCACCTGGTAGAGAGACCAAAGAGAGCTCCAATTGAGACAATCCACTTGGCAAAATTCCAGTTGAGGTCTGCGAAGGCAGATGGGATTGGGGAATTCTCATTCAGGCTATAATAGGGCACCATCATCGTCAGCACAGTTGAAATCCCAAAATACGCCAGGAAAATGAATGAGAGGGAAAGGACAATTGCAAAAGGGATGGACTTCTGTGGATTCCGTGTCTCTTCACCTGTCAATCCCAATTTTCCTGAATTGTATTATTCCTCAATCTCAAAATCTAAATAAATATAAGTCTCCAAAAATGGAATGGGCATAGGCACCACATCCACAGTTGCTTGCCATTTGTTAACATCAATATTGTACAGCTTGAGGCTTGTGTCAGCATACCTCAAGCAGCACAAGAAAGGCATGCATGCAGACACCTACATCAATAACAATGGCAGCAAAACATGCCATATATAGGCCTCATCAAACATCCAGAATATCATTCTGAAATCATCACTCTTTCATCTCATCTAGCACTATTACCATATGCAGGTCTTCATTACCTCATAACAGATATTCATTATTCACTATCACCAAGCAATCTACAATAGGATTCCAAGGAATCCAAGTTAAAGAATTGGCATAGTGATAAGAAATGTTGAAACAGGTTCATTTCTACAAAACTGAAAACTAATTTGCTCAACAAATATGCCACAAGAAAGCTGAGAAGAGTAGAGATGCATCGATACCAATCCAAAGTATCAGAATTGGCCAATAACACCAATACTGAGTGAATTAGCCAGAATACTGATGTATTGGCCAATTCAATCCAATTCTCCCCTGCTGCATCCCATACTTAATCCGCAGTGTGTACATTTTTGGAACATCTCATGAAAAAAGAACCACTCACAATGACATACAGTACCTCAAGTCCATCATAATACTTTGTTAACCCTTTGCAGCCCACTGTTGGAAATAGTCCATACTCCACAGTGTAACAAATAAAATGGACCACAAAGGGTTAATCTCCTACTCATTGGCAATACCCTTGCAAATGGTCAATGCGAAATGCAAGAGATTCAGGAAGAACATTGGAATAATGGAATGGACCAGTCATTCACATATGCATTCATTCCCTCACTCTTTCCCCTTCCGTGTCATCTACCTTCCTATGCTGACTGGTTTGCACAGGCGCGCCTAATGCTCATGTCTTCCCCACTTCTATCTCTCCTCTCATGAGCACTGATCCCGGTTGTGGTTGCTTGATGAACTCCTTAACCCCTTAGAGGCATTAGGCATAGTACTGTCCCTATGTCCACACCTTTCTGCACTGATTGTCCATTGGGAGTAGCACCAACATCCAATGGGCTCGTGGGGAGGCCCAGGTAGATGGCAAGGGAAGTTTTGGCCTATACTCAAGAAGCTAATATATTTGCTGATGTAGGCATCCCCAGAGCTGAATAAGAAGTGGCAGGATTTTTGAGTCCTAGATCATTAGAGAGTCCAGTGGCTTATTATTTCTTCACTTCCATGCAAAAGGTAGCATAAAGGCTACTAAGGTGGCACTATAGGTCTGGTCCTATATTGTGGTTTCACTTCTGACAGCCACTGTAAGGTATTGGTGTCAGATCAGTCAATACCAAGACACCGGAATCGGTATTGGTATAGACTAATCCTGGATTGGTGCATCCATAATAAAGAGCACAGAAAAAGAGAGGCTGCAGATGCAGGCATGCTCCCATTGATTCAAAAGCAGAACAGCAAAGATGAAACAGTTTTCCCACACACATTTCTGCTGACAAAATAAATAGATCAACCATGACAACCATTTACAAATCCTCAACCTGATGGAGTGAAGAAAATTCACCTGTGGTAGCAATGACATCAAAGCCCACAAAGCCATAGAAACAGGTTGCAGCTCCAGCCAGCATTCCACTAATGCCGTACGGTAGGAAACCACCACTCCCTAGGGTTGTTTTATCCTCTGGAATATTCCAGTTCTCTGGAGTTGCTGCAGGGAGAAGCGAGACATGAGAAACAAATATAGTGATGCAATGAGGGCTTAGGACAAAACAGCCAAAGACCTTTAAAGGCCCCTGCAATGATGACAAACAGGATGACAGCAAGGTTGAGGAGAGTGAAGAGCTTGTTGAACATGCTTGATATATTTACTCCAACTGCAAGGATCACTGAAACACATAAGAAGGAGTGTTATGCACATAAACTTCAGAAACAAATAGAGATATTAAGAACAAGTGAAACAAGTCACAAAAGACTAGTCAGCATGTAGAATTATTCATGCTATGCAGATCTGTGATGAGAAAATAATGGATTTAATACGAAGCACTGGGATATTTAATTTCACATGAACCACTAACCATTATGTTGGTAAGGAAATTTTCCACATTTCCAACTCTGGGTTAAAATAAGAACACTCTAGATTGTTCTTTTACTTTGTATGTGTCTATTGCATAATAAGGGAAAGATCATTTCCATGCAACAAAGATGGAAGAAATGATTATACAATAGTTATGCTTCCTGCATTTCCATTCCCTTATAGTGATTTTTATACAGATACTCTTAAAGGAAGTCCATCAGCTGAATTATATAAAATCCTGGAAAGATCTTTGTGAAATACCCAATTGGGTCCAACTCACTCCAAAATGATAAATTTTCATTTTTTATTAATTAAAAACAGGGACTCTGGTTGTGAGGTAACTTTCTACAGAGACATACCTGAGGTGAAGAAGGTGACGCCAAAGGCAAAGAAGTCAAAATATTCTGCTATATACTCTGCAAGTGCAGGAGAGACATCCTTGTGAATGTCCCAGACATCCCTGAAGGCTCCTGACATTTTATGGTCTAACAGGGCATCCAAGTAACCACTGTATCCTTTGGCTACACTTGCCGTCCCTAAGGCAATCAGAAAGAAAATCCAAAGGTCAATTTCATCAAACTGCCCTCATTTAACAAAAGAGAAGATGACCTTGTACAATAAGCTCAAAACTGTCATCTGATTCTGCAAGCCATGGACATTGCAAGCATAAGAACAATCCTGCATAACCAGAGTCTTCCTTTCTCTAGGTCTATAAACCTAACGATAGGATTTCAACCAATCTCTATTAAAAAAATTTAATTTTTGTTCTCATCACTTTCAGTGGTAATGGATGCATGAAACATTTTAACAGGGTCTTGGAAGTGTATCTGAAATGTTCTGTTCCTGTAAAACTATATATCTTGAATCAAGTTTCGTTCTGAAGCATTCCAGTTCTGTATTCCATAAAGTTTTGTTTTAACGTTTCCTAATGCTCTGGTATAAGTTCAAATAGAGGAGTAAGGAGACAGAAGTAAAATGTAGATAAGAGGTGTATAACAGTTGAGACATGACACAAGGAGAAAGGCCACCATGCATTTTTTCGCCCTTACACAGTTGATGATTACTGTTATCATATTAGTCCATGGGGACTTGTTAACAAGTCCCCTTGCACCAATATGATGCAACTTACTGTCTGATAATAAGCAGCAATCAATGAAAACTTGAAATTTAGAACTTTTATCAAGCTGTCTTCATTGGAGAAGTAGCCATCACATGTGATCACCAGAAGGTCTTGATGCGAGTAAAGACCTTGACTTTGATCTCCCGCCAGGTTGTTCCATAATTTTAATACCAAAGGCAATTCCAGCTCTCATTAAAGCCTCAAAGAATAGCCTCCCTCGACTAAAAGGATACATTTTTCCCCTTTTCTCCTCTCCATAATTGATAACTGCTGAGACAGAGCAGTTAAACTTGGAGAGAGAAACAGTGCTGCTTCTTCCAATGGAGAGGGCAGGATGAGAGTGAAACCTTTCAGGAGTGAAGGGAGTGGGATAAGAAATCAGGACAAAGGGTGGGAAAAGGACCCAGATAGCCAATCTTCATTGGGCCAAGCATGGCATTTCATCAGCAAAGTGCTTGGACCACCCTTGGTGGCCAATGATGGGCCAATCCCGAAATGTACTTATTATAGTACATGAGATGAGCTTAGTCATCCTCAGGTGTCCAAAAATTGATACATCAGAGGTGATGCTCCAGTCACTTGTTCTAAGATGTATACACAACCTGAAACTATTAGCCCCATCTCATTGTCCAGGCAAGGCAGAAATAGTTGCAGATGGCAGATAATAGACTATAGTTTCAGAGTAGTGAGGCTCTTATGAGATGGGTACAATTTGCCATGGGCAGGGGTTCTTATAGATAATATTAGCTTGATTAATTCCTGAACTCCATGAATCTGTCTTGAATATGGAGATAATAAATAAAGAAATGATGGCTTCAATTGATTGCCTTTATGAGACATGACAAAATATATAATGCTGTACTATGTACTGTACTGCTGTGAAAGACGACTCTAGAGAAGGGAGGAATGGTACTTTTGGGTACTGGCTGGAAAGCAAGAATCATGCTACCATCTAGTGGCCCACATAAGAACTTCATTTCTGGGATACTTTCAAGTGCAATTGAAGCACATTGGAATGACCCAACCATTTGATATGGGATCAATGATGGCAGGGCAATATTAGGAAGACATAACTTTGCAAAAATTGGCAATATTGGCGAAGCAAAATTGCCTACAGCCCATATTAATTGCAAGCCAACCTGGAGCCTTAATTGGGGCTGCATCTTTTGCCAATGTTACACCAATAATGGGAAACCAGCTTAGTGCCATGAATGGGCCTTTTTCACTTTGCCAATATTATGCCAATAATGGGAAACCAGCATAGAGCCATGAATGGGCTTACGTCCTCCACCAATGAAGTGCCTAAAAATGGCAAGCCAAGCTAGAGCCAGGAATGGGCCAAACATACCTGCCAATACCATTGATCTGCCAACATTGCCATGAAGGGGCCATGGTTGGGCCAAGATTTTGGTAAAGTGGGGAGGGACAGAAATAGAAACATTCAGGGGTGGGAGTCTCAAATTCCTTATTTTTCCCTTTCCTGTCGGACTTTACTTGATCTCACGATCTGACAATGATGTTAACATTGACAGGAGAAAAGATACTCATCACCAAAAAAAAGCACAACCAAGGAGTTGAGCTTGAAATTTGGTACACAAGCTTATACTAGTGTACCATAAAATTGATTATTGTTTCAAGGGTGTGGGATATATAATCATGTAAGAAACTTGACCAAAACTTCCACTTCTATAGCAGCTAAGTGGTCAAACTAATTGACAAAAATGGTCACCTACATGGATTTTATAGATGAAATGTGGCAGGAGAACTCTTAGAGATGTGTGGGAAAATATAGGAAAATTTCAAGGTCAGGGGATGGGGCAATGAAGAGAAAACTTGTCAAAAGCCTCAGGAATGGGGGAAAAGGGCAGTGACAATGATGACACCAGATTCCTCTTCTCTTTCCCACAAACAAACTCACTACAGAGTCATTGTTGAGTCTAACTGTGAGGCACTGAAAGAGATTTCAACTTAAGCACTCCAACATTTTGTTGGAGTGCTCAATGCAGATCAATGCAGGCAAATTGGGATTCACGCATTGGCTTTATGCATCAAGTTGTTACATGCTAAGCATCACAATCAACCTACATTGATCAAACACTGCTAGTTTAGCCACAAAAAACACATTTTGAAGCTTGCAAGTAAAATACTTGGAAATCCCCAGGAGTCCTTGGAGCTCAATGAAAGTGATGCAAGATGGGGCATCCTTCCACTAAGACAACAGCATTCAACCACAGTTTCCTTTGAAGAAAGTCTCTTTGAACAAATATCGTGCACATTTTCATCCAGAAAACTTGCTTTAATGCAGCCCTATCTGCCTAAGACACGCCTATGATAAAAACTGATGTGATAGACAAGTTTGCATGGAAGTAATCAAGTGTACTGGCTTCCCTTTTTCAGTGAGAGACATATGGGCAGGGATTCCAAATATTGCAATTGTGATCTTAAAAAAGCATTTTATCTGGCTCAACTAGTGGGAGAAAATTCCAAAAATGTATTATATTGAAGACAAGATATAGGTGCATATATCCTCAAACATACATAACTGTAGCAACGACTGATTTCCAGATATAATACTTCAAACAGAGGTTTTTTTTTTCTCTGCACCTGATATACAGGGTGGGCCACTTAAAAGTAGCCCGCCTCCTATAATACTGCGACAGACAGACAGTCGGTAAGAACAGTGTGCAAGGGGCAACCACCTCCGCCACGCTCGGACCAGAGGCGGGCTACTTTTAAGTGGCCCACCCTGTATTATGCCATTAAAGTAAACTTTACTTGAGAACAGACTGAAGTCATCCACAGGGCTGCTATTCTGAGAGAAAACTGAGAAAATCCATGAATAAAATTTTGAAATTTCATTTTTACCAAAACCTCAAAGAGTCCAACCAATCAAAAAACTTCCATTAGGCATTATGTCAGACAATGCCTTGATGCCTATTGCTCTCCAGGTGAAATCAATCTTTTAGTGAAATGGGTACTTTAGGTTGGGAACTATTGCTCTGAAGGTGAGATGTGAGAATTACCAGAGAATATTACAATGGCAAGAAAAAGATAAGCAGTTACAATACCTATGCTCAGTCAGATGCTAATTTGTTTCTTAGTTGCTTCAGCATTTCTGCAGTGCATTTATGACTGTCCAAACATGGAAGCAATTCTTGGTGAGAAAAACCATCGGGTGTGAATTAAAAATAAAATCAGGTCAGCAGCAGCTTTGGACAACAGCAATGATGCACCATAGCTACTGCATCAGTGGATCCATCAAATGTATGGATGACATCAATTCCAATTAGAATCTGGTGGCTTCAAGTAATTTACCACAACAGGATTTGCTAATCTTCAGATTAATCCAAACCAATCCAAACACCAAGGAATATAATGGGGCTTACATTAAAAAAAATCCATAATTCACTTGGAATTTTGGCAGATGGCAAAAATGTCATCACTTGCCATAAAGAGCTTTCCAGTCAATGCGAGATTACATGGTCTCTAGGTATGAACTCAAAAACTTTCTGAACACATGCTCAAGACACAATTTTCTCAGCTGCTTTCATGCTTTGGCTATGAAATGGTATTGATGAAAGATCATTTTTCTCATACATCCAAGAAATTCTAGCAGCTTGAAGTATATAGGTGTGGGTTTATCCTATACTGACAGAAATCAGTGCTAAACTTACCAATTATATATTCCAAGATCAAGTTCCATCCAATGATGAATGCAATCAGTTCCCCAACAGTCACATAGCTATAGACATATGCTGAGCCTGCCTTTGGGACACGAGCACCAAACTCAGCATAGCACAGACCTGTGACAAGTCATATGATAGATAAAAAGATATTAGCACTCAGTGGAAGATAGGAGAAATTGGACTGTTAGAAAGAGACCTGCAAAGGCAGATGCAATGCCAGCAATAAGGAAGCTGATGGTGACAGAAGGACCAGCAGTCTGCTTGGCAACTTCCCCAGCCAAAACATACACCCCAAGGCCAAGGGTGCTCCCAATGCCAAGAGCAGTGAGGTCCAAGGTGGATAGGACACGGTTGAGCTCAGTGTCATCTGCAAGTGGGTCATTGATTCTCTTGCGTGAAAGACGGGAATAGAAGCTCCTCAGAACACCCATGGCTTCCACAAGAACCCACGGTCTATGAGTGCATAGGGAAAGAGACAGAGAAAGAAAGAGAGAGAGAGAGAGAGAGAGGATATTGTGACCACTGACAGCACACCTTATCTCTCAAGTACCCTATATCCTGAAACTGAGCATCTCACACATATACTGAACTGCTATCCATAATGGGAATCCCTCTCAGATTTCAATACTTATCTGACCTATCTCCTGAGACATCTGGGATAGTATTCTATTAAAATCTCAAGACTTGAGTAAAACAAATTGCTCAACCTCTGCCATGCATTTGAATGGGACAAATACCAGCAAAGCACCTTGCTAAGTGGGAAATTGCACTTAAGGATATAATAGAATATGGCCCCTGGTTAAGTGGACTATGCTTGTGAATCTATTTGCAAGAGTTACTTGTTCACAAGAAGTTGAGTAGTTCTCATAATATATCTATGCAAATCTCTGGGGTCTACAAAAGGCTACATTGTTGTCAATGCACCTTTGAGAGCAATAGGTCTCAGTACCAACAATAAAGGTGAATGCTTACCAGGTTTACTTATGAAGGGCATTGGGCTTCTAAATCTAAGAGCATAAAGCTCCTTTTCCAATTAAAAAATCCATGTTTCATGAGAATACTCCACTCCTCATGGAATTGCTTATATCTAATATATATAAACAATCGTGACTGACAGATGCTAATTCTAATCATGTTCAAGAGAAGTTATAAATCTGAAATTTGCTACGCAAGTAGCTATTGGGATGCAGAGTTGAGAAAAAATCTGACTTTGGAGGTACATGCCGCGGGGACACAAATTTCAGGGGGAGATGTTTCCAAATAATTTTTTTGTTCTGTCAAACAAATAAACTTGGAAAGCTGAAACTTGACAAGGACATGCCTACTAGGGCTCTGAAGTCAAGAAAAATGTCAAGTTTTGGATGCATGTCCTGGGGGCATATTTTTGGGGGGTGATGTTTTCAAATAATTTTTTTTTGTCCTACCAATTTGGGCAGAGATAGAAAGGTGAAACTTGATACAGAAGTACCTATTGGGAACCAGAAAATTGAAACTTGAGGTTCCAATAACTGAGTTGATGGTGAGTTCAGAAAAATTTCAAGTTGTGTTACATACCCTCAGGGCACAGCTATTGGCTGTGAAATATATTTTTGCACTAGCAAAAAGGGCAAACAGATGAAACTGAAACTTGGTAGACACGTAGTTCTTGCAGTATTGATTTAGGTAAAAATGTAAATTTTTAGGTAAAACCCCTGAGGGCTCATTTTTTGCAAAAGGTGCATTTTCTGGAATCTTTTCTCATCCAATGCAAGAGAGAACATAAGAAAGTTGAAACTTGGAGCATAAGTACCTGTTAGATTATTAAGTGCATATCCTACTTTTCAAATAAAACCCCTCAGGACAGATTATGAAGAGATTTGAAGTTAGGCACACAGGGAAATAATTGGAGTAATTATTTTGATGGAAATATCGTTTCATTCTCTCTTGGCACACATTTTGACAGGCACATACTTTTAATATGCTTTTGCCACTATGAAAATAAACTAATGAATGAATCACTAACCTGGACAATGGAGCACCAAAGGCACAACCATAGCAAGCTTGTTTGCTCTAAGGGTAAATAAACTCGCTAGTATTTGCATAATATCATTCATTATTTAATTGTTTAATCATGGCTTCCGATTCAACATTATAATCTTAAAAGAAGTGTGTAGGTCAGTACAATATTTAGAAGCGGAGTGCCTAAAGAAATGACACAGGTGTAGCTTTTAAATGAGCAAAAAGTCCTACCTTGGGCAAGGAGCTATACTGAAGATGTCTATTCTATACCCTACAGTTCCTTCCCAGATATAGCATACCTGGTCAAGCTCAACATTATACTTGTTATACACCATAGACAAGACCACACTCCTAGAACACTTACATCTACTTACTATACAGCATGACATATATCTATATGTAGAGTGTTTAAAATACACTCCAAAGAAAGAACATGACATCCAAGAGTGAGTTCCATAGGGAGCTTGTTCTTTGAAGGAAGGTATATCTCGTATAACCCAAGGTTGGAAAAGCCCAAACCTTTAAGGAACTGATTTACTAAGGCAGATGCCTATGTCACACATGAGAAGACATTCAGAGAAGGAACATAAAAGCTACTTCACTGCTGGGTGAAGGAACAAAAAGACTGCAGAGATAAATACAGCAGTTTCATCCCAATGGAGTTGGAGAAGATTCCAATATTATCCAAGTTATGGAAGTCGATCATCCTGAGAAAGTATGCCAGAAACCTACAGAAACCTATGTACAGTATTAGAATGGATAAGTGAATGAAGTTATTCATTTTAATTGATAGGCATACTCCATAATGGAAAGTGGCTTTGTATAGTAGGGTAGCTAGTGTAGAAGAGAGAAATACCTTACATTAGTTTAGTCTCTAGGACACAGGAAGCAGAATTTGCAATGTTGTGAATATGAGCATCCCAAGTGAGCTTCTCATTGAAAGTGACCCCAAAAAGCTTCAAGGAATTGCAAGGATGGAAAAGTATCTTCAAATGTGACAATGAGCGAAGAAGGCTGCTTCTTTCAAGTACAGTCAACCCTCAATATACTGCCACCCAATATATGGCCACTCTCGCTTAGCACCAACTCTTTCCTGAGAACGAATCTTCCCCATAGGCCTACCATAAGCACTCCCCCATTATAGCGCCACCATCTGCCAACACCTTCACTTGCACAAACATGTCATATTCTACATAAGTCTTACTCAATATTACACCAAGCAGCATACTTTGCCAGTCACAACCATCATATCTTGTACAAAATATAATGCTGCCAGTTGCTCCTTTTGGTTGCATGATGGATAGCAAGATTGTGAGGGATGACTTAGCATTAGAATAGACCTCCAGAGATTAGAGAGGGGTGTATAGGGTCACCTAATCTGGCCTAATCCTGTCTCTTCTTTTGGAGAATGGAAATGGCTTGTTCAGATTATACACAGCTTCCCCAGACGACAGTTCAAGTTTATTCACCATCCAGTGATGGGGAAAAGAACGGTTGTAAGTATGAAGAAAAAATTGGAAGTGTGCCATTGGGAGGCACATGTAGTCAGAAGTCAGAAAAACCTCATGAACAATTTTTCAGTGTTTAGGGACAATAATGTGAGCAGACAGTAAGTAGGAGTTATACTAATTAAATATAGAAATGATCTAATTTAATAATTCATTATTTTTCATTATTTTTCAAAGCTATGTAGCTAGAGTATTCTGATTCATGGACCATAAGCAGTGTGGATTAATTAAAGTGAAATTTTGTGCATATTTTATATAAATCTACACAAAATCCTTCTACCATCTTGCATACCCAAACAACATCTTTGACTATATTAATACCACCTTGAGAATCACTTCACATTTCTCCCAACATCTAAGGTCATTATTCAGGAGAATTTAAATTCTCGGAATGAGAATGTTTTTGCTGACTATTCTTGCTGGAGGTCCATCTACAGAAGCAGCAGAATTTCAACTGTAAATTCAGCTGTATTAAACTGGAGGGTCCTCTGTAGAAATTCTAATGGTAAATTTCCAGCTGTAAAACAACCTGTATCTACCATTTTTCAGCTCTTTGCCAACTGGAAATGGTATGAATATACAGCTTCTGTCCACCTGAAAATTTCCAGTTAGGATTTCAAACTGGGCCCTACCCTCTCTAGGTAGCATAAGCATATCATAGATGAAAAAAGTGTGGGAGGAGGAGGGGGGGGGGGAAGGTTAACACTGGGGCACTGTTATCATGCATTTCATGCATCATTTCCTATGTATTAATGCGTTTCTTATGGTGAAGTGGGGGGCATATGCCATGCCATGCCTTCATTGAACAATTCCTTAATTGGATAATTTCAGAAAGAAATACAGTTTTTATTCCCATCTATCTTGTGAGTTGTCAGTCAAAATGAAGAAGACACTCCTACATGAGTACGCCAAGTTTTCTCATGAAATAGCATTACCAATGAAAATACTTGTGAAGGTTCTAGTCTATCATGTTGAAACTTTCACCTTCATTAACAAGGGTGCATATGTTGAACACCATGAAACATGAGTTCTTGGAGCAATTGACTATGGTCTATGAACAATTAAAAATGAGTTGATTGCAAGTAAAGTATGGTGACTTGCATATGAATGTATACATATGAATATATTAATAGTATCTGATGGATTATGGACCCTTTTTGAATACAGGCATGTTTAGGATAATCTCACCATACATAGGTATGACATGGCATATATGGACAGTATATGGTGCATATTATGAGCCAATATATGAAAATGTATGGGGTCATATATTTTCACTCTTATATGATTTTATGTGACTTGTGTCAAACCCCATACATGTTTCACATATGTTCATATATGTATTGCACTATATGGTCATATATGCCCTGTATATGTTGGACTGGTTAAATATATGGCCATTTCATATATGGGTCTTATATGAAATTTTCATGTGGGCAATGATACTTTTTTCCTGGATAGCATTTTCCACAATTATCTCTTTCTCTTAAGCCAGCTTATCCAGTACTCTGAGTTGGCCTCAAATCTCCTGGACTCGTTGGACCATGCTATAATTGAGTTTATTTATATGGCCTTAAGAATGGCAGCAGAACTAAAGTTTCATCATTGTGCAATAGATATCAAGTGTGGCCCATCAGGCACATGGTTCAAGTAAGGTGTTAAATCAGTCCAACAGAAGAGCACAAGGTCAAAGGCTGACACTCATGTAAACTTAGATGTCGCAAGTTCAAAAGGCAGTAGCACCAGTGCCCTTACAAGTGTTTGAACCCACTCAAAAATCACTAGAATAGAATGGAATAGAATATATTTCCACATATTTGTAGGTAAGGACATAAGATGAGGGTAAAGACAATGACAAAAATGAAAGACAATGCCCAAAAGCATATATATCGGAAAAAGGAAGAGAAAGGAATAGAAATAGAATGCAAATTGCAAATAGTGGGCAATAAGGTCATTCATTGAACCCAATTGGGTTTGTCCTAGATAGCCTGGTTGCAATGTAACAAAATATTGATTGATGGATTTAATTATTTATTTATTTTTTTTTATCATGGGGATATGGTCAGCCTAATCAGCCAATTATGAAAGGAGCTGGTCCCTATATTAGATTCCTCAGTTTAATGGAGATCCATTTACCCCCCCTTGTCAACCAGATTGTCCTCACATTCATTCACATCCCCATGACATAATTCTACTCAACAACCCCTTCCCTCCCTTCCTCTATAACCCAAGAACTCCTCTTTGTATGAAGCAAGGAGGCAATGAAATCTGAAGAAGAAAAACTCAAATCTGGTAGTGCCAATGGATGCTATGCAACCTTTGGATACTCTCTAAAACATTCCAGCATATTTCATTCACCGGGTTGACTCAATCCAAAAAGTACCACAGTAATTCATTTTTGAAACACAGGGTATGTATGCAAAACCTTGATGTCATACTAGCTTAGATTGACCAGGCATTCCAGTTTCTGGGACAGTCCCAGGTTTTAAGGCCATGTTCCAATTTTGCCCCAGTTTTTGACAAGATTGCACCTGTGTTCCAGTTTATTTTTCCTAGGCCCTTTTATTATTATTGGAAAGAAGAGCATCATTGCTTCCATACAAGTAGAGAAGTTAGAGAAACAAAACTACAATGCCTTTGAGGCTGCTCATATTATGCATGTTAGCTAAAAAAATATTAGTGCCAGAAGGAAGGAAAAGTTTATTCCCTTCTTGAAAAAGGAAATTTTTCTGTTCACTGGAGGATGAGGGATTGATGTCCTAAGAGAAATTTCACAAAGCAACCTATGAGTTTTTGGAAACTGCTTTACAATATGATGATATGGTTGTCAAATAAGGATGATCTGAGGGTCTAGGTATTCTGAAACACATCTAAGAAAGGTCTGCCTTAGAAGCAGCAACACAGTTCATTGCTTACAAGATTCCCAATTCTCTGTGCCTTGACTATGACAAACTCCTTAATGAGGCCACCTGTTTTATTGCTTTTGTTGGGAAGGATATTGATGCATGAAATGCTCAAGAAAAAGATGTTGCCTTGAGATGGAAAGAAGCATTTTGCCATTTAAAACTCAAACATATTTATTGCAAGAATTTCAGTAGCATTGCTACTGTTGCACTCTGCTTTCCAGGGAACAATCCACCAATAGAACAGGTTTTTTCAGCCATGTGGAGTGATGAGAAATTGTAGTTGACACCACAAGCAATCAAGGCCATGCACTTTGTGAAGATCAAATTTGGTCTCAGTTGTAAAGATTTTCACAAGAAACTAAACAGGAAAGAAATGCCTTGAAACAAATTCATTCTAAAGTAAATTATCAATATGAGTGATGCTGATCCAAATAAGGGCTAAATAGAAGTTCTTAACTCTTTTGCTCTTTGCCAAAGCACATATTCGGGCTTGTGTAGTGGTAGCCTAAATAAGTTCTCAGGTTCTGACCATTTAGTTTCCTTAAGTTATTTCATCACTATCTTCATTAATTTTCATGATATGACTTATTTATTTTAATAAACCACGGCTTTCAGTGAAACAGTCTCAATTATTATAACAATTGTTTTGCATGACAGTGAAAGGGTTAGGGATTGAATTTTCCTTGCCATTATGGTGTCCTTATTTTTCGAATTGCAAGGACTAACATTCGAGAATTTTCTTGAAAATTTCTCGGTTTTCCCTGAAAAACCTGGTCACCCTACATTAGGTCATTCTGGATTGACTTAACCATTAGGCCCCAGCCTAGCCTATAACAATATTGCACTCACAATTTTGATGCGTCTCTGGAAGATTAAAAATGACAGCAGCAGTTCTCTGCCCTCAGTCATATCTGGGAAGCTCCATCGGTAAACATATGTGCATGCCTTACAAGCTGGATGCGGCGTAGGTAAGGCGAATCTCCAACGTACACGTCATACGAACCACGGTCCCCTAGTCCATGTGGGACTTGAGGGGGCAGACATGTTCAAGCCAGGGATGGGCCTGTCCCAGTGTTAGCAAATATTCAGGACATCGAACAGCTGAAGTACATCATGGGTCTTCGAATATAAATACTTTAGGACTTTTAATGAATTATTTATAGGGAATGAAAAGTACTACCCCTATGAGTTCAGTACAAGCACTTTACCTCTTTATTTTGGCTAGTTCTTCGTTTGAAACCCTTCACCTGTGACGGAATTGAAAAGTGAAAAGCTCATATAGAAGACTGTCATCAGCGGCGTAGCGTCAGAAGGGCCTACGTGGGCCAAAAATTTAAAAAACGAAGAAACAAAAGTAAGAAGGAAATGATGCATGTAGTTGTAGGTAGGTAGGTAGGTTCATTTGTCGTGGTTCGGCTCATCATTGTCCAGATTTGTAAAACAATAAAAATAGAAACAAATCAAAGGGAAATGTATAAACAGTTAGCACATATGTTGTCACAATGTAAGAAAGTGAGATCCTCTCAGACATCTGAAAGCTATTTCTAAATAAGGAAATTCGAATTCTGGGGGAAACGAGTCTCTTTCTTGTTTCAGGTCCAGTAAGACGGTGGAAAGTTACGCACACTGATTGCAATGGATGCATATAATCTTCTCGAATTTTCTTATACAGCTGGATGCCCGAGAGATGAATTTTCTTCGAAAATTCTTTCCTCACTTGTTCGGTATCCTGGCCACCGATATAAAAGGAAATGACGCATGAAGTGCATGAAAAATGCCCCATAGCTCTCGCGCCCTCCACTTCTTCCATCCATGTTACACCTATCTTGCAACCATTGTAACCGTTCCCATGCCATTGGGATTTGAAAATGAATTCGTACCACTTTTACGTCAGGCAGCGTTACTTCTATGGTCCATAAAGGTATTTAAAAAAAATAGGTAAGGGTAATGTTTCATGATCGGACTAACGTTAAGTCTTTGCAGCACGTTTTAAAGGTGATACGGATTCATTTGCAAATCACTGAACAGAGTAATTTGGGTTGGCCAGTCATGTACACTGATTTTTCAGATTGAATTCGTAACGCCTGATGAAGCGGATCCTTTGGAAGTACAGGTTGTAATTTTTAATTTATTATACTCCCTGGGGGGTGTGGTACGAATTCCATTCAAAAAGCATGCATAAAAAGAGTCTGGCCAAGCACCTGTAATTGAACGCCATTTTATTCCGGAGAAAGGGCGTTCCTCCCCGCCTACTTGGAACTCATAGTGGAAAATATTTAATTAATCAATAAAATAAGATTAGCCAACTTAAATAAATATAAATATAAAGAAAAAAAATTTTGCGGAAGAGAGGGAAACTCAAGGAGAATTCAAGTTTTAAGGATCATATTTTGCAGCATTTGCAGCGAAAGAGGAACCTCTTTCCTCTTGAGGATAGTTTTCATTTTGACATGCACTTGCCAACAGCCTCTTTGGAAAGCCCACGCCGACGATTACAGCTATAGTGGTAAAAAAAAGTTCAATCTTTTTCAACCGCTTGTCACTTCCAAGTGAATTATAAGGAAGTTTTTTGTTATACACATATGCAGTACAACTGTTTCTTCCTTCGTGCATACGAAGGGCATTTCATAAGTTCCTGCCACCTGAAAAACTACGAAATGAAATAAAAAAATAAGAAGTTGTTCACGGTCCTTCAAAGTAATCTCCGTTGGCTTCGTACGGTACCGACGGCCAGCACTCGGGAAAAAGCGGCCTGAGCTCTGCAAAAGCAGGGACCCCTGCTGTTGCATGACGATGCAAGCCCACATACCAGTGGGATTTTTCAGGAGCTCCCGCCGCACTATGACTGGGAGGTGTTGCCTCATCCTGCGTACTCTCCCGACGTGAGTCCCTGCGACTACGACATGTTCCCTAAATTTAAAAGTCAGCTGCGTGGCCATCGTTTCGAGGACATAGATGAGCTATTCAAGACTGTCGTCCGCACCCTACAGCACCCAGTTACATCCGGCTCGGCTGACGGAGTCCACAGGCTCCCAGAACGCTGGGAGCGTGTCATTGAGGTCAACGGAGATTACTTTGGACAGTGAACAACTTTTTATTTTTAATTTCATTTTCACTGTTTTTCGGGGTGGTGGCATGAACTTATGAAATGCCCCTCGTACGTACAATTTTCGATACCTCTTATCCGAACCTAATGGCGTCGCGGCTCGAGCAGCCGGAGCATCTATCACTGTTCGCGATCCTAACAATGGATTCTAGTATACTGTGCCTCTCCTGGGGAAGGTTTGCGATGTAGTCCGTCCACTTTACTCGAGGTATTGCCGGTGGCCGGACAACTGCTCATTTGCCGGTCATTTTTGATAGGAGGACTCTTTTTGGGAGTCTCTCGGGAGGCACGCGAGAGACGAATCAGAACCAAACGACCTGGGATCTCTCGATCCGAATGGGTTGCTGCGAGACCTGGAGGTTCTCACGGATGGCGGCGTGGAGCATCTTCTGAAGACGCGCGAAACTGACCACCCGCCCTGAGAACTTCATCGAGGTGGCTCGTATCTGCGACCTGATCCTTTTGAGCATCACCCAAAGTTCATGACCATGGGCGAGGTTGGGGAAGTAAACGCTTATTAAAACCGTAAGTATCGCCTCCTTGAAAATTTCAGTTCAACCCACGACAGTCCTCCAGTGTTCGATCTCGTTTCCGTACAGTTTTCGGTTTGAATTGGTAGCCCCCTCCTTAGGAGCGCTTCCATCGAGTGCAGGCAGGACACCTAGCGGATGAAAGGCTTAGTATTAGTAGAATCCTTTTTGGGTCTTTGATTCCCAATCTGGGGAGACCTGCACGGTAGTTAGAGTTTGAATCTCCTCGCCTCGTGATCAATGCCAATTTGGATCTTCACCTCTTTTTAATTGTAATTTTTGTTGAGGACGTACTGGTATCTGACGACAAACAGGAAGAATAGTCAATTAATCAAAAAGCATAACATGGATTGAGTGAGGAACAGAAAAGAAATGATAGGGGAAAAATTAAGGTTTTTCAGAGGACAAGGTAAGGGGAAATAATGGAGACTACCCAGAGCCACTGGAGGCGGAGCTGAGAGTTTCCGAGCTACAGTTGACTGTTTTTTCCTCAACTTTTCTGTCTGCATTAATGGGTTCATTCCCTGCGAGATCTAATGCGTTTTACTGCGTCAGTGTTGTGTCTTCCTATGCTGAAAACGAAACACGAATAGTCATTCGATTCATATGATCTTGATGTTTTTTACTTACAAATTCCTGTAAATCAGAAATGCTGCGAAAATTGTCACAAGTATGCATGATTCTTGAAGCCTCTTCATCCTGAGAGGCCTGCAAGCTCCAATTGTTTTCACACAGCCATTGTCAGACGGTATGCAGATGTTCAAGGATGGGACAACATTTTACCAAAGAGAGCACGACATCCTGAAAACTGGAGAATTTCCTTCCAAGGTCATTCACTTCATTCATTTCATGACAACGAAAGTATATTTCCTTCTCTACGCTAATCCCAAAAGCTCAATTACCACCGACAATCTGACAACCGTGCATTGCAGCACGATTGACATCTCGTGGATTGTCTTGAAATCTTGTGCTACCTCCGTTCTCCAAAACAGGGGGTACCAATTCAATCCAAAAATAGTGTATCGCCCGTCACTCGAGAACCGGACCTCGAGGTACCTAAACTTCCATCGGTGCCCTCCTCACCCTCATGTAAGGCGCACTGCACAGGACTTCTCGAGTGGACCATAACATGCGATCTGGGGATGCTCAATTTCTCTCTGGCCGCAGTACATTCCGAATCGAACCGGTCAAGCACGCTCTGAAGCTCCTGTCGATATCGAGCCTTAGGGCTCATCATAGGCAACGAGAAATATCTTTACTTCGATACCACTGATGCCCCCCCCCCCCCCCACAGGTCCAGGATATGCCTACAGATTCGATACTTGTACACGAGGAACAGGAAAGACGAAAGTATGCAACCCTGAAGGAGTCCCATGTGTTCTGGGAACGAGTCGGAACTCATCCCGTTAAGTATTGAAGGTCCACAAGAGTCGACCGTTAACCCCATACTCCTGCAGCACTTCCCACAGCTTCCTCTAAGTACACGGTCGTATGCCTTTTCGAGATCCACAAAGCACATGTAAACCTCTTGGCATATTCCCAATGTCTCTCGAAAATCTGGTGTAGTTAAAAGCCATTTCGTAGTACCACGACCTTCGCGAAAACGGAGCACTTCTCTTGGATGGCTTCACCAACGACTGCACGAACCCTCCTTTCGAGTACCTCCGAATAGTCCTTACCAGGTATATGACTCAATTCCGTGGTAGTAGGTGCGCTCTCTCGTGTTCCCCTTCGTAACCCGCAACTCGTGGAATCATAAGAGTACCGAGTCGATGACCGAGAGATGGCGCTTGCCTTCAATACATCCATCCCAGTATCTTCATTAAGACCTCTATCGTTGCAGATTCGTTGCTAACTTCACTGCAGTGAAGTGAGTTACGAATAGCTAACTAGCTTTTCATTTTAAAATATTTCATTTTATAATGATTTTTATTGCTGGGGTCCATTCGACTCCACGATACCAATTACGTAATAATATAAAATAAAAAGGAGGATACCAGTTAAAGGCTTAAAAAAAGGAACCACCACATCAGTCTGCCAATACATCTGTGCCACCCCCTTCTCCCATGCGGTTCGACATACCCTATGCAACCATGAGCACCCATCGATGCCTATTGCTTTGAGTACCTCTGCCCCAATTCCGTCCATCTTTCGTTCTTCAAAACTAATCGTTGCCTGAACTTCCTCCATCGTGAAGCTATTCTCTGAGCAGTTAGGCTCCGACTAGCGTACGTACGAATCCCCCGTGGGTGGGTTTAAGAGCTCCTCAAAGTGTTCCTTCCACCTTCCGAGTATTTTCACTTCAGCAGCCAAGACTTTCCCGTTCTGTCTTTATCCGGAGAGTACAGGGTGACCCAAAAGTCTGGACACATAGGTAATATTACTAATATTCTGTTTTTTTCCCCAGATTGAACGTTAGTTTGTTGAAAGAAGAACGTATTGAATTGGTACTGCTGAGTGGACACAGATATTAATATCACACATATTAATCACAGATCACAGATCACAGATCACAGATATTAATCTGAAGGAACGCATCATCAATGAATGCGCTAAGATCGACGGAAATACGGAGTTACTGCATCGTGTTCATGTGAATCTCGCAAAGCGCATCGAACTTTGCATCGCTAATGATGGGCGCCATGATGAAAATGTTATTAAATAAAATTGCTACATTTTCGCCTGTGTCCAGACTTTTGGGTCACCCTGTATATTGCCCGCCTTGACGGAGCCTCCGAATGGTTTGCTGTAACACCTTAGCAGTGAGGTAGTCTTCCTTCCATTTCCTCGCCAAACCTCTTTCATGCCTCTTGTTTCGATTTCTTCTTTCATTAAAATTTATCTTTCCAAACTCGATCCCACGGTCAGGAAGCACTTTCTGTTTTACGAGAACAGTATGAAATTTCCCGTTCCCGTCTGCTTGCAAATGGAAGAGATTTATTCGGGTTGGAGAGAGTTCGGGGACTCGAATACGAGCGGCGTTTAGACGCGCTAGGACTGCATTCGCTGGAGTGAAGGCTAACGAGAGGGGAGGAGGGGGGGGGGAGTTCCTCGTCCGAACATGTAATATCATGAAGGGCATCGATAACGAGCTGCAAGGTAGGTTTTACAACTCAGTGGCATGAAACAGCAGGGCGGGGGAGAACCAGTTAAAATTGCGTAAGCCTCGAGTTGAGGAATGGCTTCTCGGATGGTCAATAAATGAAACGCTTTCAGTGAATACGACCCTTTCGTGGATAGCTTTCTCAAGGTTTTAGAGGCTTTCATGGGCAACGAGCAAATGGGAAAAACATAGCTTTAAGTAGCCGAACAGCATACCGACACGCTTCCACCAAAAATCAATTATTAGAGGGGTGAAGTTATTTTTAACGGCTTTCCATCTCGACTGGGGATGTGAAATTGGAGAGAAAAGCCCCATGACGTCCCAACCCAACACCTTGAATCCATTCCACGAGGCTTTGGTTGACCACCCAGTAGCGGTTTGCCTTGCCTAAGGACCCATCATAGACTCTGCTCGTGAGAGCATGTAGAACCTGCATGACATCTTTCAGGCGTTGGAAAACAAAGGACTCATACATTGGCCAGGAATTGAATCGAATGCCCTTAGGATTACCTTAACCCATGACTTCCGTTCCATTTCTTGCATGCTCGTCACGAGCCGTCCCTCAGTTTCATGTCAACTCGTGGTCCCGAGCGACAAAAACATCCATGCATAATATGGGGCTCGAAAAAAAATAACAGGGCAAGCTTTGAACGTAGGACAACTGCAGTCGACGGGAGAATACTCATCCCTTTGGTCCCACGAGATCCCAACTTGAGACAAGGATTCCACTCTGTTTCCCGATAGCCGTTGAGATACATGAGTACACGGGTGCACACGGGTCAGCCGATTCCTGGGCAGGTTATACTAATAAGCACGTGTGAAGGACTTAGCGTGACTGTCCTCGAATGCTCCGAGTACTTTTGAGGGGGAAATTATCCCAGCACTGGCTTAGCCCATGAAATCGGTTCTCACGGCATGTAAAAACCCTCATTTTGAAATCTCGTGATCCCAGGAAATAAGATAACCCAGACGCCTTTTGTCTGTCTTCTTCCTTTACCGGATAACGATCCTGTGACGTCTAAAGATCAGTCACTGAATTCATTGCGGCGAGAACAAGATCAGATCGCGCATAAGTCGATGTTACGATGCCTGAAGAATAATAACTCTGGAATTCCCTGAGAGCGAGGGCGATGTCAAAAGACTGAATCGTTCGTTCCTGATCGTTGGGATGTTATTTTCTTCTTTTCTCTCAGTATCGCCGAACCCACATGGTTACTTTCCACAACAAAGTGAGCAAGTCAGGAATTATATCATAATGCCATTTTTATTTTTACATATCACAGTTACCAACTTTAAAGATGGTGGCAAAATCATAAGGCACATGTGGTGCTTGCCAGCTCACAAAAACCAAACAGGTAAAGGTAGGAGAGTCTGATAGTAAGAGATAAAAGCAAGAAAGGCGTAGGGCGTAGAGACAAGTGTCCTTCACCACGGTCTCCAGACGCGTTCCGAAGCGGAAGCAAGGTCGAGGGCCGAGTGTTTCATCTTGTCCTGGACGGGCATTAGGTAATAGGAACCCCTGAGAGTGGTCACAGGGTAATCCAGGTCCATGGGAGGTGACATGGGAGGCGTGAGGCACCTCGACGGTGGTGACGTCGGGCGACCGTCCATCTGATTCACGCAGTGTCCGAGATGGGTCATGAGTCGCGCACCGAGGTGGATGTCCACTCCTTCCAGGGTGCTCAGGCACCGGCTAACCTCCGTGGCACATTGGGTGAAGCCGGCCTTAAAACGATCAACCGAATGACCTTGGCCTTGGCCATGACCGTGACCCGGGGCGAGAAGTCGGTTCTGTGCCTTGAGCTTCCTGAGGTATTTGACGGTGAGCTCGAGGACGTCCGCCTTCTCCAGCTTTTGCCCGTTCTCTCCCTCGGACTCCGACTGAAGGGCTCCAACCATGAGATCTTTCAGCTCGTCCAGACAACGGTTGATCCGAGCTCGTCTCTTTCTCTCAAGCAACGGTTTCATCACCTGCAATTCGCAACAAGAGTATGTCATTAGCAATCCGAGTAATGCGACTCCATAACTTCAAATGGAATGATTGGAACTATTTATAATTGTCGAATCCGTGGACAGATTCGTCTCGCATGCCTTTACATCAGGTGTAACATGTCTATTGCTGAAGTTCGTAGGCTTCCTAAAATTGTTTGATAGTCAGGAATCTGATATAACAGCGAAGGACCAATACGCCATGTTCAGACTACGTGATTGCGAACTTGGACAAACAGATTGAATAGCACGCGATATCAAACCTCGCTTCGAGAAGTGACGTGGTCTAGAGTTAGGCCAAGCCTAGAGTTGGCCTGGGCAAACGGGCTTCAATTACGTCTAAGGCTATCGGCATGGGATCGATATCTCTGAACCGATTCAAGTCCATGGAGGTCGAATAAAAAGGGCCAAACAAGGAATGGGATCTTACCTTGCGGTACTGGTAGGTCCGTGACATGGGCTGCTCCCCGCAGTACTCCACATTTCCCATCAGCAGATGATCGTTCATGGTGAACACGAGTGAACTCAAGACAGCACGTGGTATAACACGTTGAGAGCGTGTGCGTGGAGGAGAGATGCGATCGATGCGAAGGCGAGTGAAGGAATGAGGGGCGAGGGATGCCTTCACACACATGCCTTTCTGTATGGGAACCAGGTGCGTGTGCCCACCGTGGGAACCTCCCGACCGCCTCCGTTCCCACACCATCCAGCCCACACCTGCAACCTCTACTGTTTTCGCGCGGAACTAATTTTCGAGCTCCGCAACCACTGTCTCTGATGCATCCCACCGCAAAAGTACGATGAAAGGGTGTTGAGAAGGCAAAGTCATTCGATCCCTCGAAATCGAATCTGGCACACGGGTTCAAGAAAGATGTAGAAGCTGAGAATGCCTTTGGTCTCGCGAAAATAAGAGTCTTATCGAAACCGGGGGTTATCTCGTAGCACATGTCAGAGTTATTGGAGGAGCATGCTTGGCCTCGGGCATGGCGTGAGCCGGACACGTACACGGATGCCGGATCCCTCTCTCCGACACCACAGGGACCCAAGTGCCATTATGAGTGACCCCCTTTGACTTCGATAAAAAAAAAGCCCTGTCCTCCACCCTACAAAATGCATTTCTTTTCACCCTATCTCGATTTCCTTACTCAATTGCATCGATCCCAACTTGAGAATGCCCAACAAAACTCCCCTTCCTCTGCCTCTATAATTGATAATATCAATATCAAGTGCCCCGTAACGCATCTCCGATCTGGTATTGTACCCTCCATTCGTGACCACTTCTTCACCACATGCGTGCTCCCAGCCGACTATGACCGGTTTTCCATTATGATTAACATTACCTGGTGACTTGATTTGTTCTCCGCCAAACACTTAAGTGTATCGTGAAAGATGCTTCCTCACTGTTGAAAACCAAACTTCGGCACTGTCTGGAAATTCTAATTCCAATGCAAATTTGCTGACCTCGACCGAGCTTTCATTTATCAAGAAAATTAATTGTAACAAGGAGGAACATCCCGATGACAGCACCATGCCGATTTACTAAGCATAATTAGCAAGCTAGTATGCATGTTGATGCGCGGTTAGGATGGAACCATTCGCATTCCTTGACAATTCAACCGCATGCTAATGATTGCATCCAAAACTCGGTTTGAAGCTACGACACACTCGAGAGGTTAATCTCTCTCTTCACATGTAAACAAGACCGCACTTGAACGAAACCCTTCGCTGAAAATTTTCTGGTTCGCGATTGACAGCTGTATAACCTGTAAAGCCGAATGCATCAAGATTAATTAATAAAAAGAAAGTAATTAAAAAAAAGAGAGAATTTGTACCTCTTCGACTCTCCTCGCTTGATGCAGATAAGTTCTATTCTAGTCCGGTTCTATTTCGCACTCGGGAATGCTTTCCAATTCCAAGTGGATGATCCGATAAAGAATACCTGGCCGGTCTGAATGGCATGAAAGAGTAACTTGGTGTCGTGTACTATTTGGACTCCCGATGCCACATCAACATTTTCTATCAATGTAACTGGCTTCCCTTTTCCCCTCGGGCCACAGAGGGGAAAATTATTATTATTATTATTATTATTATTTTTTTAAGCAGAAAGCTCCACGATATGAAACAAGGTGGATAAACTGAATAGATGGTACCGATAGCGTCCACACGAAACACCACTAGAAATGCATCCGACACACACGTAATATTACGTCGAAAACAGTGAAGGAGTTGAGAAGGGAGGATACAAGATCGAGGATGGAGGTCCTCTTCGTATCTAATTCGACCAGACGTATTCGGATGCAGTGAAGCCGAGACGCTGCTCATTCAAGTCTTGGAGAGCACCACGAAGACACGCCATTTGAGAAGTGGAACCGATTGCCGCATCCGATCGGGGATCCTCCTTCTTAGACTTCCTTCCGAGCTCTTTTCAGAGATCGCTGTGAACATTGAATGCGATTTGTCGTCTTTCGTTGCTGTTCTTTCTCGAATCTCCCACCTTCTCTATCTCCTGTTGTATATTTTCTCTTATAGGCCTTTCTTTCCATCTTAGGGCCGCTCTCGCACGATGGTGCTTCTGTTTGCCGTACGAGGAAGGTCGTGTGTGCATAGTACTGCCGCAAGGCTTCAGACTTCGGTCTTTCTGCCATCGATTCTATATCCTCGTGTCCCTTATGTATATCATATTTGGCTCGGTCTGGTCTCATGCGTTACACATCAGGTGGCAAATTGTGTGTGCAGAGAGGCAAGAGGAAGAGGGGGCACCCACCACGATATAAACACCGGGTATTCCATGATAGAATCGAGGCCCCACCCAAAGGGGCTCGCCGTGTCCATGGGGATACTCGCTTCGATGCGAATACGAAAAAAAATAGACTCTCGGTGAGTGGTCGAAAGTGCTGAATAACCATCGCTGAACTTGAATGCCTCTTTGAAGATGGAGTGGGCATTCTTTGCAAAAAGAAAGGGTGGAACTTCCTCCGATGTGCCTGTCATGTCGTCTCATGCACTTCCGTTGGCACGAGAGATTCATACTTTATCGCATCTGTTATCACATCTGACACTAACTCCACAGAAATGTCTCATTCGATATTTCTGTGGAGTTCGTGTCGAGTCGGGAGAGCGAGGGAATTGAAATGCGGCGAAGCTGCTGTCGTCTCCTTCCTTCATCTCGATCAAAATGTGTTTCAAGCTATCAACTGTGAATTAATGATAATAATAATAACAGTATTAGCCTTCACGAAAGCAGAAGATTTCATGCAGAACGACGGCACGTACGAAAGTGTCAGTTCAAGGCTGGTGGTCCCAACTCGAGGCTTTCTTCCTGCACGGGCTGGATGGGCAGAAACAGAAGGATAACGAGAGAAAATGAACGTGACGAATTGAAGTGTCTGAATGGAGCGATTACCGATTGGATTCAGTTAATTCAGCGTGGCAAAGCTGTATGGAGATGATTTTGAACTTTTTAGAATTAGAAATGTTGCAACACGATTCCAAGGTGGTTTATCTTTTGTTCAATAGGAAATACGAAGGCTCTAGTGAAAGAATCTCAAGGACTGGTCTTACTCACCTTCCTTTATTTCTATTAATTATTTTTTTTCATCCAAAGCTGCCTTAATTTGTGATGCAACTCTGCGGAGGTCAGACGCTCGACTGAGATAATCTGCGAATCTACTGATCTACAGAGACAGAGCACATCCACGAATGCATGCTGATTTCGTTATTAATTTAAACGACCGGCTTCACAGAGCGAAACGATCGCGAATTGAAATCGAGAGCATGGGTAGTCCGAGGGGTGGCGGGGGCACGGTGGGAGGAGGAGGATCTGGCAACCGTGAATGGTAGTGGAAGAGGAAGAGAATGGTCGTAGACCGCTAATTAGGGAGAATGGCCTGCGGGGATGGAGCGGAGCGTGGGAAAAGAAGTTGCTTGGGAAGGGAATGGGAATGTGAGAGGCCCGAGGGGGGCCAAAAGGCCAACCGAGGGACGTCCATACCCATACTCAAGGCCTGGAGCCCCGAAGGAACGGCCCCCGCCATCTGTCCACACTCATCGCACGTGCGAACCCTCCGGCGCCCTTTCCGTATTTTGGCCGCCGTTCTTTATTTCGCGTTCTCGGCGTCTCCTCTCGCTCCGAGGAGACCTCACCCGAACGATCACACGGAAGTTCACACGACGTTGGGAAGGAAAGTCACTCGTTCGCTCTAATTCTCGATTCCGTAGCCTTCGCGTACGCCGCGTAAACAAGCTCGGCGTGAATGTTTTCACGTTTACAGTATATCCAAGGAGGCACTTAAGTTGTTCCATAACCATCTGCTGATTCTCCCACGCTCTCTCGTCTCCCTCCCTCTTCCTCGGATTTTTTTTTTTTTTTACATTCCCTCCTTTTCCCGCCTTCCTCCTCCATTCACATAATTGTGTTCAAACAAAAAATATGCCCACGCCCACCAAATACGGCCTGACCCCCTTTTTTTTTCCATCCCCTCTCTATTGACAGACGGCCTTATTTGCGATACTTCTTTCACGAGCCTTCCACGATTTGCATGTAAATGTATCACGAAAAGATCGAAGATGATCAATGGGCTTCACGATGACGCTTAATAGAC